AAGTGTCTTCATTTTTTAATTTAATTTCCTTGGTTTGTTCAAGGTAAAAAAGGTTGGGCCCAGTTCTATCTTAGCTCCTTCTTTATTTGTATGAAAGGCATTGAGATTGCACTCATCACTGTGAGGTCTGTGCAAATGTCTGCTAAGTGGCCTAGCCATGTACATAATGCTTGTAATTTATGTTAATGCACACCCTTTTGCAGTCTTAACTGTAGAGGATGCTGCCACCATGACAGCTATAACAAATCATTTCACTCCCCACCATTGAAAGGCAGACACTTCTGGGGTGGATTATGGCTGTGACTGGTCACCAGTGCACCAAGACATTGCACAGCATTGTAGGATCAGAAGAGAGGTCCAGTTATATGTGTCAAAGCACGCACCTGCCCCATGCTAGTAAAGGCGGTGGGCAAGATGAAGGTTTGATCTCCATCAGGCCTTTTATTAGCACACTGCCAGGTCTCTCTGACTCGCTGGAGCTGCTGTGTGTGCGCAGTGTCTGAAATGGTAGAGCACCGTGAATGGTGGGGATAATGGCTTCGTTAGTGTGTGTAGAATGTTCCACTTGCTAGCTATACCCATTGGGGTAGGCCCTCTACCGCCCTACCTCCATGTAGTGTATCCCAGCCTTTGTATCCATGATCACTGGCAGCAGGTTCTGACAGTTCCTGGATGTCTAGGCCTGGGTTCTTAGCAGTACATATTTTATGTAGCCCTGACAGAGAACACCTTGATTAAAAAATTAATTCAGACTTGCTCCTTGGGGAAGTCTGTCCCACTTCGTGTGGCTCAGTTTTCTGTCCACAGTCCACTGGAGGCAGTGTGCACTAGTGGCTAGAGAAGGGAACTGGAGTCAGGAGTGCTTCACTGTTTTGTTGTGTCTGAGGCAAGAACTTCACCTCTCTGTTTTTCAATATCCTGTCAAATGGAGAGAACGAGATTTCCTCTTCCTTGTAAAATGCCTAAAAGTTGATGTTGGGGGGAAGGTGCTGTGTAAATGCTCAGTCTTGCTGTCTCACCATTTAAAACCACAGTAAGGCGGTAAGGGCCACGCAGCCTGAGCTGCAAGGATCAGCAGCAGCGGGCCTGGAAATAGGTATTGCTTGAGAAGGGCTCAGTTCTGTTCTCACTTAGCCGGCGCAGCCCCGCTGACATCAATGGGGTTGCCGTTGACTCCTGCCTAATGTGTAATAAACTCTCTCAGGAGAGAAGGCCCAGTACTTTCATTAACTGCATCAGCAGCCAGCTAAGACTGAGCCTGACAAGGCTTCTGGAAACATCTGGGCAGCTTCAGAAGCTGAACACAGGTATTAGACTGTCACTCCCACAGCGATAACACGAGTCTTAGCCTTGCCTTAACCACCCTGCTGTCTCTTCCCTCTAGGTCTACTGGAAGGCGTCAATATCACCAGCCCAGTTCTCCTCATCCATGGCACAGTTGGCAAACCTGCCCTGCTCTCGGTGAGGTACACCAGCACCAGCAGCGATAAACCTGTGGTCAAATGGCAGCTGAAGCGAGACAAGCCTACCACAGTGGTACAGTCCATCGGCACCGAGATCATTGGCAACCTGCGCCCTGATTACAAGGACCGGATTAAAATACTTGAGAATGGCTCCCTGCTGATCAGTCACCTGCAGCTGTCAGACGAGGGCACCTATGAGGTGGAGATCTCCATCACAGATGACACCTTTACCGGGGAGAAGAACATTAACCTTACCGTGGACAGTAAGTGTACAGAACTTCCCAAGAAAATGAG